TAGAGGCCCAGTGTGTGTGGGGGGGGGGTAGCGGCCCAGTGTGTGGGGGGGGGGGGGTAGCGGCCCAGTGTGTGTGGGGGGGGGGGGGGTAGAGGCCCAGTGTGTGGGGGTAGAGGCCCAGTGCGGGGGGGGGGGGTGGGGGGGTGTAGAGGCCCAGTGTGTGGGGGTAGAGGCCCAGTGTGTGTGGGGGTAGAGGCCAGTGTGGGGGGGTAGAGGCCCAGTGTGTGTGGGGGGGGGGTGGGGTAGAGGCCCAGTGTGTGGGGGGGTAGAGGCCCAGTGTGTGGGGGGTAGAGGCCCAGTGTGTGGGGGGTGGGGGAGAGGCCCAGTGTGTGGGGGTAGAGGCCCAGTGTGTGTGGGGTGGGGTAGAGGCCCAGTGTGTGGGGGGAGAGGCCCAGTGTGTGGGGGTAAAGGCCCAGTGTGTGGGGGGGGTTGGGGTAGAGGCCCAGTGTGTGGGGGGAGAGGCCCAGTGTGTGGGGATAGCGGCCCAGTGTGTGGGGGGTGGGGTAGAGGCCCAGTTGTGTGGGGGGGTAGAGGCCCAGTCTGTGGGGGGAGAGGCCCAGTGTGTGGGGGAGAGGCCCAGTGTGTGTGGGGTGGGGTAGAGGCCCAGTGTGTGGGGGGAGAGGCCCAGTGTGTGGGGGGAGAGGCCCAGTGTGTGTGGGGTGGGGTAGAGGCCCAGTGTGTGGGGGAGAGGGCCCAGTGTGTGGGGTAGAGGCCCAGTGTGTGTGGGGGAGAGGCCCAGTGTGTGGGGGTAAAGGCCCGTGTGTGGGGGGAGAGGGCCCAGTGTGTTGGGGGAGAGGCCCAGTGTGTGTGGGGGGGAGAGGCCCAGTGTGTGGGGGGTGGGGGGAGAGGCCCAGTGTGTGGGGGTAGCGGCCCAGTGTGTGTGGGGTAGAGGCCCAGTGTGTGGGGGTAGAGGCCCAGTGCGGGGGGGGGGGGGTGTAGAGGCCCAGTGTGTGGGGGTAGAGGCCCAGTGTGTGTGGGGGGTAGAGGCCCAGTGTGGGGGGGGGGGGGTAGAGGCCCAGTGTGTGTGGGGGGGGGGGGGTAGAGGCCCAGTGTGTGGGGGTAGAGGCCCAGTGTGTGGGGGTAGAGGCCCAGTGTGTGGGGGGTGGGGGGAGAGGCCCAGTGTGTGGGGGTAGAGGCCCAGTGTGTGTGGGGTGGGGTAGAGGCCCAGTGTGTGGGGGAGAGGCCCAGTGTGTGGGGGTAAAGGCCCAGTGTGTGGGGTGGGGTAGGCCAGTGTGTGGGGGGGAGAGGCCCAGTGTGTGGGGATAGAGGCCCAGTGTGTGTGGGGTGGGGTAGAGGCCCAGTGTGTGGGGGTGGGGGGAGAGGCCCAGTGTGTGGGGGTAGAGGCCCAGTGTGTGGGGGGTGGGGTAGAGGCCCAGTGTGTGGGGGGAGAGGCCCAGTCTGTGGGGGGAGAGGCCCAGTGTGTGGGGGGAGAGGCCAGTATGTGTGGGGGTGGGGGTAGAGGCCCAGTGTGTGGGGGGAGAGGCCCAGTGTGTGTGGGAGAGGCCCAGTGTGTGTGGGTGGTAGAGGCCCAGTGTGTGGGGGAGAGGCCCAGTGTGTGGGGGTAAAGGCCCAGTGTGTGTGGGGTGGGGTAGAGGCCCAGTGTGTGTGGGGTGGGGTAGAGGCCCAGTGTGTGGGGGGAGAGGCCCAGTCTGTGGGGGGAGAGGCCCAGTGTGTGGGGGAGAGGCCCAGTGTGTGGGGGTGGGGGGAGAGGCCCAGTGTGTGGGGGGAGAGGCCCAGTGCGGGGGGGGGAGAGGCCCAGTGTGTGGGGGAGAGGCCCAGTGTGTGTGGGGGGGGGGGGTGTGGGTAGAGGCCAGTGTGTGGGGGAGAGGCCCAGTGCGGGTGGGGGTAGAGGCCCAGTGTGTGGGGGGGGGTAGAGGCCCAGTGTGTGGGGGAGAGGCCCAGTGTGTGGGGGGAGAGGCCCAGTGCGGGTGGGGGAGAGGCCCAGTGTGTGGGGGGAGAGGCCCAGTGTGTGGGGGAGAGGCCCAGTGTGTGGGGGAGAGGCCCAGTGTGTGTGGGGGGAGAGGCCCAGTGTGTGGGGGTGGGGGAGAGGCCCAGTGTGTGGGGGGAGAGGCCCAGTGTGTGGGGGGGAGAGGCCCAGTGTGTGGGGGAGAGGCCCAGTGTGTGTGGGGGGAGAGGCCCAGTGGGGGGGGGGGGAGAGGCCCAGTGTGTGGGGGGAGAGGCCCAGTGTGTGGGGGGAGAGGCCCAGTGTGTGTGGGGGGAGAGGCCCAGTGTGTGGGGGGGGAGAGGCCCAGTGTGTGGGGGAGGGCCAGTGTGTGGGGGAGAGGCCCAGTGTGTGGGGGGAGAGGCCCAGTGTGTGGGGGGAGAGGCCCAGTGTGTGGGGGGAGAGGCCCAGTGGGGGGGGGGAGAGGCCCAGTGGGGGGGGGGTGGGGGGGGAGAGGCCCAGTGTGTGGGGGAGAGGCCAGTGTGTGGGGGAGAGGCCCAGTGTGTGGGGGGAGAGGCCCAGTGTGTGGGGGGAGAGGCCCAGTGTGTGGGGGGGGAGAGGCCCAGTGTGGGGGGGAGAGGCCCAGTGGGGGGGAGAGGCCCAGTGGGGGGGGGAGAGGCCCAGTGGGGGGGGGGGAGAGGCCAGTGTGGGGGGAGAGGCCCAGTGTGGGGGGGAGAGGCCCAGTGTGTGGGGGAGAGGCCCAGTGTGTGGGGGAGAGGCCCAGTGTGTGGGGGGAGAGGCCCAGTGTGTGGGGGGTGGGGGGAGAGGCCCAGTGTGTGGGGGAGAGGCCCAGTGTGTGGGGGAGGCCCAGTGGGGGGGGGGGTGGGGGGGAGAGGCCCAGTGTGTGGGGGAGAGGCCCAGTGTGTGGGGGAGAGGCCCAGTGTGTGGGGGGAGAGGCCCAGTGTGTGGGGGGAGAGGCCCAGTGTGGGGGGGGAGAGGCCCAGTGTGTGGGGGGGGGAGAGGCCCAGTGTGTGGGGGGGGGGGGAGAGGCCCAGTGTGTGGGGGGAGAGGCCCAGTGTGTGGGGGGAGAGGCCCAGTGTGTGGGGGGTGGGGGGAGAGGCCCAGTGTGTGGGGAGTGGGGGGAGAGGCCCAGTGTGTGGGGGAGAGGCCCAGTGTGTGGGGGGAGAGGCCCAGTGTGTGGGGGAGAGGCCCAGTGTGGGGGGAGAGGCCCAGTGTGTGGGGGGAGAGGCCCAGTGTGTGGGGGGAGAGGCCCAGTGTGTGGGGGAGAGGCCCAGTGTGTGTGGGGGAGAGGCCCAGTGTGTGGGGGGAGAGGCCCAGTGTGTGGGGGGAGAGGCCCAGTGTGTGGGGGAGAGGCCCAGTGAGTGGGGGAGAGGCCCAGTGCGGGTGGTGTTTAAGGTACAGATGTGTTTAAACAGTAACAGTAGAGCAATGAGAAGTCGGGTTTGTGCCTCGAGCTCTGCCCTCGGCGCGACATTCAAACGCACCTGCGGGGATGGCCACTGGTCCCGCGGCGCGGCCTCGCCCCGTCCCCGCCCTGTCCCCGCACCGCCCCCCCGGGGGGGGAGGGGGAGGGGGGTCCTAACTGCACAGCGGCTGCAATTAATTCAAAAGTCGCGCCTGTGCCGCACCGTCAGGGAGAAAGCACTGCTCCATCACCAGGGTCTGTGCTCCCTCCCCCTCCCTCCCTCCCTCCCGGGGCCGGAGCCAGTGACTGCTTTACAGGTAGATGTCCTGTGGTTGACTTGTCTTTTTGTGTATACCCGTGTACACACTCACTCACACACTCACTGACTCTCACACTCACACTCACTCACTCACTCACACACTCACACACACACACTCACTCACTCTCACACTCACTCACACACTCACACACTCACTCACACACTCTCACTCACACACACTCTCTCACACTCTCTCACTCACACACTCACTCACTCACACACTCACTCACACACACACTCTCACTCACACTCACTCACACTCTCTCACACACTCTCACACTCACTCACTCTCACACACGCACTCACTCACTCACTCACACACTCACTCACTCTCACTCACACACTCACACTCACACTCTCTCACTCACACACTCTCACACACACTCACTCACACACTCACTCACACACTCTCACTCACACACTCACTCACACTCTCTCACTCACACACTCACTCACACTCTCACACACTCACTCACACACTCTCACACTCACTCTCACACACACACACTCACTCACACTCACTCACACTCTCTCACTCACACACACTCTCTCACACACTCACACTCTCTCACTCACACACTCACACTCACTCACACTCTCACTCACACACTCACTCACACTCACACACTCACTCACACTCACTCACACACTCACACACACACTCACACACTCACACACTCACTCACTCTCACACCCACTCACACACTGACTTACACACTCACTCGGTCTCACTCATGAACACACACGCACACTCACTCACACTCACTCACTCACACACTCACACACACACACACACACACAGGCTGCATCTTTACTGATTTCGTTTGTCTCATCTGCTGAAGCAATACCATCTCGTTTGTTTGATATTTTTGTTTGCGCCCCTGAAGACTGATTTTTTTTTGTAGATAGATGAGAGTATTTACTTCTGTGAAGCTCAGGCTAATACCCCCCCCACCACCCATCCCATTGCCAGACATTATTGCGCTCTTTTGCTTGCAACAGAATGTGGTCTTCGGTTACTCCGCCCAGGATCACAAGATTGGATGAAGAAGGGGTCTTTTGCCTATATATGATCTCATCCTTCCAAAAAATGGGCTCTTGTGCTCTAACCCCCCCAATAAAATAGCAGAACATGAAATGATCTCATAAAATTCGAGGGGTTGAATGGCCTCCTCCTTTTCCGATGCTGCCCCAATGTCCTGGTCTCATCCACCCGTAATAGTAACCTGTTCCAGTTGGGAATTAACCTCACAGTAAAGGGAAACTTTCTGTTTTGTGTCCTGACATTGGTCTTTGCAATCCTAAACTCGTGTTCTCTTATGTTGCTGTGTCGGAGCATCCGAAAGTAACTGTTTAGGTTCAGCTCTTTGCACGGACTCCAGGATCCTCAGCCTGTCTGAGCGGCCTCCAAACAACTAGTACGGAGCCCAGACCCCAGCAGTGTAGTTGAAACTGTTGCCTTGCGAAGACTCCAGACCCATCGTGTAGACTGTGCGGACTCCAGGAGTATGGCATTGACTGCAGACATCGCGCGTGGGTTTTACAAGAACCGCTCAGCCTATAAACCTCTGGTGCAGACTGCAAGGGTGGAGACTGTACGGACTCCAGCTGCCAAGCATGGACCCAAGCCATCTTATGAAAATAGCATGAACGCCAGACACCTTACACGAACAAATGCCTCACAAAAAATTCAAGGATGCCAGAAGCCTCGCAAGGACTCCAGGCGCCATGCGTGGGTGGCAGAGATTCCAGACGATTCGCATCGTCACCATATACTGGCCACGGATTGCACGGAAGCCAAATACCTGATACGGGTTCCAAACAGTTGCCATGGATTGGATGGACTCCTGGAGGACAAAATTAGGTCGAAAATGAATCGTGTAGGTGGAATCACTGCGAGGTAAAAAGTTGGGGAAGCTGGGAATTAATGGGTAGAATACAAGTTTACTTCTTGGGGAGCTTCTGGGGCTGCACAGATTGCGCACTGCCCGCTGATCTCTGCATCTTGTACAGAGCCTCTCACATTTGTTGCCAGCAATCTCAGAGTGAAGCAGCTGTTTGTAGTGCTCAAATTGTGATGTTCTTTGCTTACCTTTAATGTGGACAGAAAATATAAATCAGTGGCAGATATTTTTTTTTACCAGTTTTCACTGACATTTACAATTTTTTCCCCTTGATTTTCTCCAATTTTTGGTCACAAACATATACCTCTAAAACCCTAAAATAAGGGAGGTTATTTTGTGTATAAAGACCAACTGTAAAGGCCCTTACTTCGCAACCTTGATCCAGTGCCCTCTTGTCTTGTTTTCTTGGTGTATCAAAGTATTATTCTGGGTTTAATTTATCTAATCATTCCTCATAACTCATCACTCCCAGCAATGAGGATCAATGCTGTTACTCTCCTCTGCATTACACTACATAGTACTCTTATGTTAATGACCTCCTAGGGTCAAATTGCCCTGTGTGAGCTCTTTAGAAAATTTCTATGAGGCTGTTCAGATGAGATCCAGCCTTTCTAAAGCAATGTTGGCTGTCATTTATTATTTTTATAAGGATAATCTGTTTAACTTGTCATGACTGATTCCATTAGTTTTCCAATTGAGATCAGGCGAATGGGTCTATTGATGGCAGGTAAGGCTCTGTCAACATTGAATATGGGAAACGCATTTGTTTGCCTCCAGTCCGTTGGAACCTCACCAAGTGGTGATTGACTTCTTCGTGATGTCTGTCAGTGCTTTATAAATCACCTGCCTTGTCTCCCTAAGTACCCTGGGGTACAGTTCATCCGTCCCAGGGATACAATTCATCAGTCCGAAGGAGTTTTGTTGGTTTCAGCCTGTTGAACCTAACTAGAACCCCAGCCTCACTGATGTCAAAGTCCTGGAGCTCAAACAATACATATTATGTTTGACAGCATGATTTTAAAAAAATCTCCTGAAAGACGTAATTTCATATATTTGCTGTAACCTGTTGGTCCTTTTTTTTCAACCTTGTTTGTAACCTCTAGAGTTTTAACTCCTTCCCTGATTACCTTTTTTATATTATTGGCAAAAGTATTCAGCATTATGTTTTTCATCTGCTGCTCTGACCTTATACATTTTTTTTCTAGACTCCCCTCATATCTTTGTTCACCTCTTCTTGTATCTGTGTAGTCTTTATGTTCAGCCCATTGGTCATCCATTACTTTCTCCCCAAAATATTTTTCTTTATTTTCTCTTAATCTGTCCATTTATTCTCAACTAATTTATTCTTCAGTAGTACCTCTGTCTATGGCACTAAGGTCATCCTTCATATCCCTAATGTTTGCTTTTCTAAAGGTCTTGCTGTCTAGGGTTTTCTGAAATCTTTATTTTGTTGATCAGGTAGTTTCCTCTGATTTGGTCTATTCTGTGTCCTTTTACTCAGTCTTCAATCTTTTCCATCTCCTCTTCATCAGTCCTCCTCATCCTTATTTACCAGAGCATTCTCCTTTAGATCTAAACAATCAATGGTAGGTCCAGTGCGTACACAAGTAGGATGAGGAGGAGCCATATTACCCGTTACAGGTGTGGAAATGATTGTTGCTGCAGTTGATCATTTTTATTTGTATTTCTTTGAGTAACTGGGCAGATAATACTGCCCTCTACTGGTTAAAATAAATTTTAAAATACAAAGATCTGCTAACTTGCAATATTAAGAAATTGGAAGTGAAATTGTGAAGGAGAAAGGAGCAGAGAAGGTTGATAAATTCTGACACTGATGTGCTGCAGTTCAGAATAGGGCTGATGTGCCCCACTGTTAACCTGACCAAGAGAGCAGATGCAGAGAAGCTGTGTGGTAGAGACAAGAGTGGAAGTGCTCAGTTCAGAATGAAAAACAGAAGAAAAAGTGGTTCAAACAGAAGTCTTGTGTCTAATAGTGGAAGTTAAAAAGCAGAGGTTCAAAAACGAAAAGGTAGGCAACAGAAACTGACTAAAAGCAAAAAAAAGTGAGGTCATGGTTTACTTACGTGAAAGGCCAAGAACTCAGAAACAATATTAAATGTAACAAGAAAAAGCTTCAAATGTGAAAAAGAGCAGAAATAGAGGGGATAAACAGATCTACGTCTATTTTTTGCAATTTGCAATTGTAAATGAGATCTGTAGAAAGATAGAAGTATAATTTCACTGAAAGCCGGAAAGATACAAAGATATAGAAGAAGGAATATGAGGAGAAAGGCAACTTATTGTCTGTCTGTCAGCAGTTACTTCAGAAATTCACGAACGGAGATACAATCTAATGCTGTTCAGAATTTCTATACAATTCATTTGGTATACATGTGTTAGCAATGGAGTGGTGAAAGTGTGAATGAGCAAAATGGGACAACCAATAAGTCTTTTGCCATTAAGGAAAGCGTATCAGATACTATGACATACTAAAATGCTTTCTTCACTCCAAGGTAAAAATGCACTGTTTCACGGTTGAACAAAGATGTACAAGAGCTTTGGCACTTCAATTTGAAATAAATGTATACATGTTAATGATAAATTTTATTTAATTTGCCACCATACTATACATATATTATAATCTGATTTATTTACAGTTCAGACTTGAAACTGTACAGATCTGCGCACGGTTGCATTCCAGTAACGTGTTGCTATCTTCTATTTGTTCCACACACTTGTAATTAGTTCTCGGGTGCTTACAGGGGCTGAAGAATGGAGAAATTATAGTTAAGCGATGCTTTCACCAAATATCTGAGAAGGATCAAAGTGAGTGTTGTCACTTTTGGATTAAATCTTTGTTTCCTGGAAGCAATATTAAAAGTTGTTTGAGAAGTTTTCCTACATGCATTTCTATCAAAACCCCAAATGCTGCTGAAAACATCTTTGTGTTTTTGAGGATGCACGTAGTGCCACAGGTGAAGAGCATTCCTGTGCTCTTGCTTTCCCTTCCATGTTACAACAGATGTCCAGTGCTTCTGTAACTTTTCAACTCAATCTATTCCTTCCATTGCTGCCATTGAAAGAATCAGTGTGGTTATACATGCTGGTATGGAAGTCAAGATTAACATTGATGTGTGCATAAATGGCCAAATGCTGCAATCACCATACCAAGGAGTGTTGACTTAGAGTTATTCGAGGAGATTTTCCTTCCTGGAAGAGGATATCACTTTTCAAAGCTTAGCTAAGTTTTGCAAATTGTCTGTTTCCCTACTCTGTTAACAAAGATTAAATTATATAATTTTTGTAATTGTAAACTGTAATTGAAATTAGGTTAGATCTGGGGTATACATAACTATCTTCAGTTTGAAAATAGTTATGTTGTTCACTAAGAAAATTGAGCCAGCAATATTGAATTAACTCTCAGGACTATCCAGTCCCTAAAGTGAAGTACCAGAATTGAAGTTTTTGGGATTCATATTTCATGTATTCCAGAGCTACATTTTCAACCAGGCGATTGCACATTCAAATCCCAGCATTGACTGGCAATTAAAACTTGTCTAGAAGTTTGGGTAAGTTTTAACATGTGTTAAATGAAGCAGTAGACATTGGCTGACTACTTGAACTCAGGAGAGAGGAGAGCTGTCAGGTCTCAAAGTCCTACCTTATAGCAGTATCTATTTCAGGAAAATATTGTTCAGTACCATTGTCCTTTCAGGACTTGTTTCGGTACTTTCTAGAGGACAAACCATAGCAATAAGAACCTTAAAGGTGAGAACAGGCAGAATAATGTACAGTATATGTACTGATTGTTTCATGTAAACGCAAGTAGTTTTAACTAAAATCAATGCTATTTGAAATTGCTTTGCTGCTCCTGTTAATGATAAAAGATGCATAATTGTTTATAAGTATCAGCTCGGCATGCAGTATATGTCTTGTGTGTTCAATGTGAGCTGTTAGGAGCAATCTATCATACTGTCAGACAATCATAGAATTGGCAAAGTAGCCTTCAAGTAACACTATTATCCACTTCACAATAAAATATATTTTAATAATATTAAGTATGCATAATGTATGAATGTTGTTAATAGTCTTATCAATAATGGCCTTAATAATAAGTAAGCATTATAAATTAATATTGTCCCAGTCGTTGTTGAGGTCATGTTTTTCCTGTGGTTTCATGAGAGAAAATAATATATCCATAAAGTATTTAGACAGCATTTGTAAGCTATAGAAAAACAATTTTACCCAATGTCTCAGTATGACTTCATCAAATTCCCCCTCAAAAATCATTGATCGCATTATATTGTGAGGAGAAACAGGATTGTATCCAGTGGCTGATCCTAGTGCTCACTGCACAATTTGGGAAATGCCTTCAAACTGGAATTTCACAAACTGTATTGCACTGACATGGTTTTCTTAAGTCTGTTCATGGAGATGGCATAGTAACTTTTCCATTTAAATGGGCTGTTAAATGTTGTTTATTTACAGGAAATGCTTCTTTAGTGATTTATTTTCGAGTTTCTTTACGATCATGTTTGTTATGAGGTAGCAAAATCAAAGGGATGCTTCCTAATACATGGGAAGAAATAGAAAATAAAGTTGGCTCTAAAGAGACTTTAAACATGTGTTATATGCTATAAGGCTGAACAATTCCACTTGGTTTGGTAAACAGAACAACTCAGAGTCAGTGTAACGGAAAGTTATTTATCCTGTTTCCAGTCTTTCATTGCTTCTTTGCTGTCTAAACCTCTGTGGCCTTTCAAAGGTCAGTCATCCAACTTTGCCTACATTAAAATGTATTTTATTAATTTTAAAGATTCCCTTATTCATGGCTAAAGTTCAAGGAGTTGTTTGTGGCAGGTGGAAACCTTTCCAGTCCTATTGAACATAATGGAGTCATTGCATTGATATTCGTAACAGCAACCTGTACAGCACATGTTCCTAACGTGGCAAATGAATCCAATTCCATTGGCACATTGGGAGGCACAACTTCCAGGTGTATCTTAAGGGAAATCCTTATTACCCACTTGAACAGCAACTAAAATGCCATGATCTAACAGAATGGCAAAACAGGCTCGAGGGGCTAAATGGCATATTCCTGTTCCTATGTTCCTAAAATGTGCCTGTGAGTTTAAAAAAAAACATCATCCTGGGAGAGTGCTCTCTGAGAAAGTTGAGATCCCAGCTTTAGAAGTGTATCACTGCCCTAGTCGAGCTGGTAAGTTTATTTTTTAAGAAAGCAATATTAACTTTGACATTTTTTCAACATTGTGGCACAATAACTGCGACTTGCAGTGCTTAAACGTATGAGCACAAGCTTAAAAAGGTTTGTCATCACTGTATTAGAGATTTTAACTTTTCATTTATTCAAATGCAATGAATTGCCATAGTTTTCAAATAGACAATTATGAAGGAAAAATCAAATTTTACTGTACTTTGAAAATACAGATCCCAACAGCATAAATGTAAAGTGCATTTGGATAGGAATTAGGATGTGCAGGAAGCATGAGCTTAATCAATGATATTACCACCTTTTACTGGTGAATCAGATGAAAAAAAATGTAGATGCAAAGATGATTGATGCTCTGCACTCTGTGGCCGACATCACAGAGCAGTAAGTGACTACAAAATGTAACTCCACTTTACCTGCACATCTGGGTGAGCAGACTAAATCAGTGGGAAAATGAACTAGTTTTATTTGCAGCTTTTCAAAAATATAAATTTTAGCATGACTATGTATTTTAATATTCATAACCTACTTTTATAGTTATAAGTAGGAGGAGAGGGGAAGTAGATATATATGTATATATAGATATATATATAGAGAGCCATTGTCTAAAATGTACAAAATTGTTGTAAGGCACATGTTAAAATGCTGAGATTGAAGTAAATGATCGTTTCTGAAGGGGCAGGGGACTGGATAGCTAGAAAGCAGATAAAGGTACAGTATATAAAGAAAAACTCTGCTGCAGTTCAAGTGAAGTAACCTTTGAACATGCTTTTCGTATTCATATTCCCAGTTATAGGAATTCGTACAAACACAACATCTGCTTAGACATGCTGCGGGAGGGTTATCACAGGTCCTTTTCAGAGCTCTCTGCTCTGATCCACAAGTTGAATGCCTTTAGGGAGGCTGAAGGGCCCGGGTCAGACATATGGCAACAGAAGACTCTGGAGGAGCAGCATGAGAAGCTGGATAAGCTTCAGTGTTTCCTGACCAGGGCGGAGGCCGCCCAGAGAGCAGGTAGGTGAGGGAAATCATGCCATTCGCAATGGCAGTGACTTTGAGGGGGAGTGGGAGGAGGGAGCAAATGAAGATTGTTTCCAGTAACAATTTCCTACATTCTGAAAATTTGCACCTAAAAGCTTCACTCCACAAAGCTCGTAAATATGATATAGTGTAGGGTACCTGAATGTGTTTTTTGAGATATGGACATTTTACCTATGCATTTTCATGACTTCCATTCTGTATCATTAATAAAATGAATAAGGATAAAAAGGGTTTACATCTCTGAAACCTTCTGAGAGATCTTATTCATTTCATATTTACAGTATGGGTTAGCTAGCTTGCAGTTTATAAATGTATAGCGTCACATACAATATGTGACAATAGCTGCATGATCTTGTGCATAGACATCTTAGCAAGAATATATTGAAACTACAGTTATTTCATGATGCTACGTTGCAGTATCCTGAGAAACAATCAAATGTGTAAATGATTTTTTTTTGCACGTGAGAAGGTAAACCAAGTTAGCAGACAGCGAGAATCTGATGCTACAGTTAATCTTAAATTAACTATAATTCAATTAATACCAAAAATAAAGATACTACACAATAATACAATACAAATTTACATTTATGTATACCTTCTTCCAGATTGGGAAGACATCCCAAGTCACTGGATAGTTTTAAGATTTGCTTCCAAGCTGAGTGTGGGGCTGGGGAGGGTGTGGCCAACTGCTCAGACTGCTGAGGGATGGGGAGCCAGTGGAACTGGGCAAGGATAATATTATTAATGATTTATTAAACCTTTTTAAAATAAATATCAACAATGTAGCATAGAGTTCCATAAAGTGGTATGGTACGGGAAACCGGCTTTTCGGTACACATTGTTTGCACCGGTGTTTATATTCCACACAAGCCTCCAACCCTCCTAATCCCTCTCCTCTACCCCTTTGTTCCCTTCTCCTTCATGTATGTTAGATACAAATCCCCACAAAAAACAAGGTAATCAAATTTACTTTTGAAAAGCTGAATTTATTTTTGATTCCCTTCTTAATATTACTAATATTTTTTCAATTTATACTAATGAGCATTACAAATGAATTATTTTCATTTGCTATTGATGTAAACGGCATCTCCTTTTTTTCTTGTATTACTTAATAATTCATAGGAATAAAACCTCATACCTGATGTAGCTTGGATAGATCTGATCAAAGTTTTTTTTGTGTGTTTTTCCTAAAAGGGCTGTATGAGGAAGTCTATAATAGCCAACTTTCACTGGCATGTTACTTTAAAGGAACAGAGGATAAACTGCTTTCAGATTACTTCTTTGAAACCTGCCTCAAAACCACTGCCATGATTTCATCAGATGAAAGACAAAAAGAAGCTGAAGCAAATGCAAACCTGGGCTTGGCTTATGAAGAGAAAGGTAAATCAATTTTTACTAAGGTTGCATGATAAATAATAATAATAATCCTTGCGTTTGATATAGCGCTTTTCACGTCTTCTAGACGTCTCAAAGCGCTTCACAGAATATACTATAAAATGAATTGACTGTATATTTGTGGGCGAAACGCAACAGCCAATTGCGCACAGCAGTCGTGGATTGAAGTGATCAGTTTATTATTGTTTTTATCTTGAGGGATTAAGTATCAAAATACAAGGCCAGTCGTAAGAAGTTCCACAAAACTAAGTGTAGTGACTTTGCCAATGTGTGCTAAAATGGGTAATGTCAATAATACCAATAAATGCTTATCATTTCCCTGAGTTTCTTAAAAAAGGGAGAGATTATCGATTATTCACTGAGGGCTTCCAGATGCTGAGCTTGGAATGCTACATGAGAAGCAAATAGGCCTGGTTCCTGGAGTCTTATGCTGGAAAAAGTGCTTTGTGACGTAAATCCAGTTTCCTACATGGAGGTCCTGAAAGGCAAAAGCTTTCAGCAACTTTAACTTTGTTCTCTGGAACTCCCACCTCAAACCCTCCCACTGTACTTTTTAAAAGCCTAATTTTGATTGTGTTTTTGGTCAGCTCCTTCCTACCCCACCAATCTATCTCCCAAGTTAGACTCCTAGTTTCTCTTTGAGTTGTGCTTTGAGTTGTTTTCCTATTTGTAAGGGCAAGGATGATTTGTCCATACAGCCAATATCACTTCACATTGATTGTGGTACATATGAATTATACAGTCCTGATTAATTCTTGTTTTCTATGATCCACTGATACATAACTTATAAACTTCAACACAACTGATGGAATGGAAAACAATTATAGTATGGGTTCTGATCAGGAGGAAGTAGTAGTTTATTTCAACTTCAATTAAAACTATTTTGAAAATTGATGATTTAATGTTTCTTCTTGTGTGCAACAAGTTTGTATTTACGTATTGAGAACTTTTGAAAGCTACTGTGCAAATAAGTCAAAGATGGCTTTTTACTTATGAAGCAGTAATGATTCAAAAATGACTTGTTGATGAAATCAGATACTATAGAAAGTGTAAAGAAATTGAATTGTCAGTTATTCTGTACCATTATATGTCTGCATTTAACTTTCACAAGAGAGCTATAAAGAAAATCTTGTATGGATCTTCTATAGTGAACATTTTTGGCAGAAAAAAAGATTAATTGGAATCCCAGTCGGAGGAAAATCTATCTGAACATCTCGTCTTCAGTGCAATAGATCTTACACACATCCTAGACACTGGGGTTGATGTTTAGACAATTAATTTTCTTCTGTTTTGCACCAATGTTAGAAGACAGAAGATGTGACACTTCCATATTCCTGACATTATTATTATGCGAGACATTTTTGTGTAGCACAGGGAAAAAAGACTACATCAAGATTTTGGCTCTAACAATGCAACTGTCTATAGTTCTGTTGATAGCTCAAAATGTTACCCTTAACTATTTTGAAGTGGCATGAATTAAAGATTTATAAGTTAAGCGTTAAGCGCAGTGGTGGTGCAACTGTAAACTTTCATCTGTACCAATAAATACAAACACTATCTAAAGCTTTTTTTTCCTCTGGTAAGATAAATTGGCCTTTGATCAACTGGTGTGACACTCTGATGAAATGCAGACTTTGAAATATACACATTGACATTTCTCAGGTTTTCAGGCTGCCAGAATGCTTCCATCTCTACACCATTTGTAACAGTTGAGAAATGTGCGAAACATCAACATTTTTATTCTATATCAGTGCATTTGTGATTATTTAAAACTCTTTGAATTGTACTGTGGTGCTTCATAGTGCAACAAGATAAATCGCTCCAAATGCTGAGGAGAATTGGATTTTTTTAAGAAAACTAAATCATTGATGTGACTTCATGATCAGTTTCGTCTTGATTGATATGTTTTTAAATGGCTTATGTTTTACCGAGAAATAAATATCTGCAAAACATGTTAAAAATGTTGAGCAATTCATTGATGCATCTGATAGTGGGGCTGCCACTGGAGTTTCTCCAGTAAAAAAGCATTTCTCCCAATGTTTAGTGTAAACTGTTTATTACAAACTCAGGCTCTGATCCCATGAGTGATCAGGAGCAGAAAACCTGTTTTCTGAAACCCTTTCAAAACTCTCTTTACCTTTGTTCCTTCTCAACCTACTTTTAAGATACATTTTACAAAAATTTCTTTGACTGAGCTTTTGGTCAACATACTTTTTCTACTAGGGCTGGGGGGGGGCAGGGGTTATGGTACTTCTGCAATATATTATATCAAGTTTAATAGCACAGCCATCTGTACTTTTTGATGAACATAGTCCCACTTACCTGGCCTTTATCCATACCCTGCAGCTGACTCTTTTTAAGGAATGTCAGAATTTTCAGAACTTGACATTTTTAGCTCAATAAATCCCTCATTGGAAGAAAAAGAGAAATTCTTAAAAGCAGAAATGGTTCTTGACAGATTTAGCCAGTGGGCCACTTTAAAAAGAGAGCTAGATAACTATGTGTATAGATTTTAAGGAATAGAAAATGAAAATTTTGCAGGGAACAATGTAGTTCCTATGCTACTGGGTGTTACCCTTTGTGAAGGGTGCTATATAAACTCAAGTTGTTGCTGGTTCAATGGAAACATGAAACAGAACTGTTTAGGATTAAATAAAGTAGAGTGATATCTAGAAATAACACTGAAACAATTTTGGGATCAAAGAGAAACTTCAAAGTTTCATTTTCCACTGTTATTCACCCTCCAAAGGAAATTAAATAAGCTTGATTGAGTGAATAACATGGATAATTGTTCTTGGGGTCTTTGGCAGGAACAGCAACATATTTACTTGTTGAACATTTGTGAAAACACAGCCGGGACATTCATTCTTGATCATCTCGCTCCACTTTTAGCCTATCAGCTCATCAGTCCCTCCAAGCTGCAAGTCACTGATATCTCCTCAATTGCACATTAAAACTTGTTTTCAAGAAATGATAACTATCTTTCTCAGATTTTAGACCCTCCCATCTCCCATTTCTGTTCAACTTATTTTAATAATTGGGCTGAGAGTGTATTGCTGAGACAAGCATTCTTCTGCCATACTCCAGTGTTATTTTCTACAAAATATAGTTAAAAGTCTGTTCAGTCTTCAGTCCCCAGCTGGAAGCTTGGGCTCAATGACTGCTTGCTTTTGATTTCCTCCAGGAGACTAGAAACCTTGTGATACATACACGTTTCATACTTGGCAGCCGCCAATAAGGAGTTTTGACATATCAAAAAGAAAACTTAATTCAATAAAAATACTAACCTAATTTCGTATCACAGTGTTAGTTTTGTGTCTTGCTAGTAATTTGGAGGTAACGATTTTTGGCATCTTTAAAAGATTTGAGCTTTATGAGATTTTTTTATGATAGTTACAACTTTGGAACTGATTTTTTTTAAAAAAAGAAATCACCGGTGTATACGAAAATGGATAATGTTTCTCTGCAAGCCACAATTCATGATAACCATGCTTCTTTTTACCTGTTTGAGAATATCGTCTCTATTGCGACTGTCTTAAGGCAGTCCCAAAGGCGATCGTTATAGACAGGTTTCACGGTATATAATTATATTTTGTAGAAATACTCAACAGGATATATGATTTTGGAAATTCTGAAAGGTCCTTCTTGAGCATCTCAGTATATTGCATAAAACAGTGTTCTTGAGAATCAATGTAAATCGATCCCTATTTTTTAGGCACCGCAAAATCTCCTTTGACCAAACGTATGGTCATAATGAGACAGAAAGTTTGAAACTTAATGAAGTGCCTTGTGTTAAAGTATTCATGTATTCAGAATAATTCTGTTTGAGCTTTTGTACAGAACCAAAGCCTAGCTCCTTGTTCAGGACCAAAAAAACTGTAATTATAGCACATCCCTGTGGTCAAATGGTTCTCTTTAACATTATAGACATGATATTTTCAATGCTCTTTCAAATCAAATAATTGTATAACAAATCAATATTTGTTGAAGCATTACACTATTTTTCATGCATCTCTCTATGTAGTATCCCTTAGATTTTTAAATATGTTCTCATCTCTGCCTTTGATGTACGGTCCCAATATTAGGAGTATTATGTATGTAAAGTTTGCTTTTTCAAGTGAATTTTTTTAAGACAAATTATTGCCGGCTGAAATTGTACTGTAATTTCTCCTACATTTCTGTTGGCGAAGTCTGCCAGCTAAAGAGAAAAAATAATTAGCTATTCCCAGTGTTACTGAAGTCCACAGCCAAGCAAAGCGGGTAAGTCAGTGCATCCTACAGTTTCTGACATTTCAAATTACCTGAATAATACCTGCAGCAATCTCCAGACCTAATTAACATCCCATGCAATTATGACCAGGTCTAAATGTACAACCTGTCTAAAGGAGCTAGGAACTGCTTTTTTTTCAAACAGACTAGCTAGCCAACATCGATGCCTCGCTTCTTATGCAAAATTGCAGTTTCTACTGATATTTTTTATCATAGCAGAGGAAGTCTTTTCCATCAAGTAATCAATGCACTACCGAATGAGTTCATTTTAATGCACTCAATCATGTCTCTAATGTTTATAGCTTACGGGCGTAGGCATCGGTAATGCAGGAATGTTATATGGCTTCAGTTTGGGCCATTTCATAAAATATTCATGGAATCAAAAATGTGCATCAAAATAGCAGCTGAGAGAATTACATTTATGTGGTTGCTGTTGTGGCAGGAGAACATTGCCCACGTCAGTGTCAATAATTTGTAGATGTTTCCAACAATTCAAAATTATACTGCATATAGGACTTTATTTCAGATCCTCTTAGGATATTTAATATTTCTATAATGAAGCATTTGTTTTCAATGTCAAAAGAAAATCTGGATAGAGATGATGGTGTGTAATCTTATCTTCCCTGAAATAATCCTGTTAAATTATGCTTCTGGTTGCTACTGAAATATGCTGATCTTCTTTGTAGGGCAATCTGATGATGTATTGTGTTCCTGATTAGCAATCCTGACTTTAATCTTTACAAACTTGTCTCCAGTCTGTCATACTTTTTCATTCATTTTTTTTTAACTGGGAAGTCATTATGAGTACAAAATATTGTTAATTCACTGTTTTAAAGCATTTAAATATTCATGCTCAGGAACTCTTGGGGTGACGGCAGTAATTTCATTTAAACCAATGACTATAAGAAAACTTAATTCTCCTTGTGACATGGGCAGCCGGAGTTGTGTATGATGATTAGAGATCAGGAAAACAAAAGGGAAAAATCATTTAATATAAAATTAGTGTAGATTCTCCAATAATTGGAAAATTTGCTGACAGCGAGGGTGCTGCATTCTCTGCTGATTGATAAATTATAATAAGACTAATTTTCCCATTAAACTCATATCACCAAGATTGATAAATTTACTCTTTGTTTTTTTTCACACTACAATCATTAAGTTTTCACTTATAATGGATGTTTGTACCACACGTTCAGACCAGGATAATTCTCAACCAACTGTAATCTCCCGTGTTTTCTTCACATCACTGACCAAATCCAATTCATATTGATAAAAGGAAATTACCAGCCTAACACATGCCAAATTTATTGTCTGCATAGAAAGTGGCAGAAGCCTCATGCAAATCTCTCTTCACCTAGAAAATGCTTATCTGAAGAGAAGTTTGCATCTCACTATGGAAAAGCATTACACTTTTCAGGATCTTAAAGCCTATTCATAGTGTGTAAAACACGATGACGTATTAACAGTGCCAAGTTACTTGTCTGAATTGCAGTTTAGAATTAAATGAACCTTCCATCCTTTGACATTGATATTAGCTTGGGTTGCAAAGTAAGAAGATTTGCATAAGGCTTCATATGTGGACGATAAACTCATATGTCAGTATTGTAATTTAGTATTATCAATGTAAACTGGATTTGGCCAGAGGTAAGTAGAAATTATGGGAAATTACATTTTCTTGGCAATCATCGTGATCTGAATGTGATCTCAATGAGACTGTATTGCTGTATCATTTGCTTATACAGCCAATTGTCTGAAATTGACAGGAATCAAAAGAAATAAAAATTGACAATTGTATTAACAGGTTCTGAAAATGTTACCAACTGCTTCTGCGAATGTTAAGAATGAAATTGTCATTGTTTTCGAGGAAAGACATGCTTTTATGGTTATGTACTTGTGATGCATCATAATATTGGCAATTTGAAACAAGTGAACATTTTGATAAGAAGGTACAAACGGCCAAATAAAAGCACTTTTTATTATCATGTTAAGATTAATCAAAGATTTTTTCATGAATTATTAAACTGTTTATGAATACATTCTTCCTCTAAAGAAATGTGCCCTTTTTATTTACGAATAAATGAGTCTTAAAAGGAACAAATTAAAATTACTCCAATGGTCAGCAAAAGCACTGACGGTTAAATCTTGGAATGCAGGTTGAATTTCACAATAAAAATACATTAGTGTTTTCCTTTAAAATATTATATAGTATGTTGTAAAAGTGTGCCGTGTACCATTTAATTCCCTTATCTAATATGTGTAAATTAGTTCTGTTTCAGTTAATTCATTTAGTTTATTTAGTTCAAACATTTTACATTTGAGCGAAACATTTTTCATCAAGGGTCGAAAACCCTATTTTATATTTAACTCTTCATTTCCTTTGAGGATGGGATTCCATGACCCCTTCCCAGTCTGATTTTCATCTCCACTGTGTTGTCTCTTGCTTCTCCTTCTGCGCTGTTCCACTTTGTCATTCTTATTGAAGTGTCCTGCTCTTTATTCTTCATAGTTTTCACTGAAGTGTTCTTTCTTTTAAAGATGTCCCCCTCTGTCTCCCTCTCTCTCTCTATCTCTTTCTCTCTCTATATATATATAATATATTATAGCAAGTTTTGTTTTTAAGGTACACAGCACAGTTTTTTATGTAACACGGTTTGATTAAAAGTTTGTATTTGTGTACTGTTTTTATGTTTTACATAGCTTATCACCATGTAATTTAGCTGGAAAAACTATCTAGTAACTGTAGTTCTGAGACAATGCCTTCATGGAGGGCACTATATAAATGCAAATTGTTGTTGTTGCAGTACCTTAAAATATCTTCAACTGAATTTCTCCAATTATCTAAGTTTTGTAAATGACTACCTCACTAGTCATTGAATGTCTTTCTAGCAATTTTTGGGAGGATATGAGTCCTCTTTAAACCATCAAATTTCCTTGAATTACGCACTGTCTGTACCTGAAACAATGAATATGAACTGCTCTCCGTGTTATTCTTGAACCAGCTTCTAGCGATCAGAGACTGTAGCTTGGGAATGATTCTCTTGATTTTTCTCACCTCACAGTTTTGAAATCATCTGAAAAGCATCTTCACAGGCATTCACCTTTTTAATATCAATGTGTGATAGCTTTGCTTTGATTACAGATTAGCTAGTCATAAACTGTTACAAACATTGTACTCTTTCCCCATCCCTGAAATAACACTTGACAAATTTTATAAAAAGTTTGAGGTGTGTCATCCAATCATTAACGGAGAGAGCTGAAAATATGCTAAAAAGGAATAATTGAATTCTTGTTTGAAAATTAGGACTATTATATTCCAGTGGAATTATTGTGCAAGTTAAAACAATATTTTAAAAAAGAATATATTTATATAAAATATAATAATCCTTGCATTTGATATAACGCCTTATCAAGTCTTTGAGATTTCTCAAAGCACTTCTACGGATATACTGCAAAATATAGCGACTGTATTTTTTTTATGGGCGAAAGGCAGAGGAGTTTGCAGACGGGCTCGTTTTCTGGTCCATAAACTCAACTGCAGAGATTGGATTCCAAGACAATTTTGGACAATCATGTACAGTAATAAATAATCCTTGCAGTTGATATCGCACCTTTCATGCCTGAGTGCTTTACAGGATTACTGTAAAGTATAGTGACTGTATTTTGTGGGCAAACTATCTATTATAAAACAGAGGATTCAATATAGTTCTCATATTTTTACTTTGTTTTTTTATTGAAACAAAGATCAAGCAAATGTTTCTAATAGCAAGAAGAGTGGTTCTGGTATTGACATTGTCATATCTTCCTCTGAATAAGGTAAAGTGTCTCTCAAGACAATGCATCATTTTACAACCAGATTTACCAACCTTTAAATGTAATGCAGACATTAAGTTGTCACAAATATATTTCAAATCAAATGTAATAGCAAAAGAAGCATAGTTTAAATCTTAAAATATAATGATCCATGATTGTATTTGCGGTTTGGATTGCTTAAAATTTTGGTTGTTACACAACACTTTTATACTTGTCAGTAGGCCTATTCATTTTGAATTCTGCACTGAATGATTGAGTAATACTCTATGTTGCCAATATCTTGCTACGGTAAATGGTTTCAAATAAAAGAAAGGGTTTTGTTTCACAAAAAAATGAGTGAAATATTGCTTCTTACAATAAATTGAATAAAGCATGTTGCCGATAACCAAACGTATCGATGCTTATATTTTCTGATTTGTATTTCAGTCCCCTGAATTACACATGCTTTAGGTAGTCTGAATTAAAGCATCTTTGAAAGCTGCAATCTGTCATTGAATCTAGCTAACATTTGTGAATGACTTTGGTGTTGCAGGTCAGCTGAATAAAGCTGTTGAGCATTATGAGGCATTCTATCAACTCTCTGTGGAAAAGCCGTGGCAGGATGAGGATGGCTGTAGTCACTACGCACAGGCCTGTGAGAATCTCTGGAGGATTTACACGTTGCTAGCAGACAAAATGCTTGAATGTGACAAACGCAGAGAGGCAATCAAAACTCTCATAAAAGCTTTTGAAATAGCTAAGGAAGGTGGGTGGAAATAACACTCTTGGTTTCTCCTTTTTATGTGCTAGCCCTTTTTCTCCCTAGAGTAGACTGAAAATCATTGTGCATTTGACTGGGTGATTATTTTACCGTGAATTTCAAAGACAGCTAGAGCTAATGTACTGTTCCTGCATATATAATCCCAGAAACTGCAAGATGTCAAGTCGCTCAAGTCTGGTTATTGCATTAGTGAGCGTTTAAGAAAACTAATCCTGGGTGAGAATAAAGCTTTTGAAAATGAAAATTAAATGTTTGTTGAACCTCTAAAAATGACCTTATGGGCAAATAAAGGTTAGAAACATTACTTCTGCAGTGGTGGCAGGAAGAGTCGACAGTTTAGTAGGTCTCTGCTTATTTGCAGCTTTTTTTATCCTCTTTGTGAGTACATTTGGTGTCTGTCCACTAACTTTATCCTGGACTCTCTTTTACACTTACAATTAAGGATCTCCTTTTAAATAAACTGTTTTTACAATTGAACCTTATGTATCTCAACCAAAAATAGAAAACCAAAACTGGAAGCAGATGATATACAATTAATAAGGACTTTATTAAAATATTGTTCATTAATCAATGCTAATTTTTCTTGTATATCACAATTCAAGATGAAAACCAAGATAAAGGTGGGTCAGTGATCCATATATATTCACTATAATTGGAGTACTGTTCAGACCTATTATTTTAGGCTAAAGCAATACACGGTAATACACGGTTGTCCAACGTTAGTTAAATCCAACATTTCTGCCAATTGAAGTAGGTCAAACCTTTTCATTATATATAAAAATACTGACTTATAAAACATTCATGATGCTATCAAAACGACATAATCTGCACATGTACTAGGTGCACTCTCAGGACCTATGTAACCTAGAACTGTTCTTTTGAATTCACTCTAGTAATGACTTCATAGCAGGATGTTTAAATGGCCTCTGAGAGTCAAAGGTAAAGGAATGCTAAGGGTACCATGCAAAAGGATGGAAACAGCTGACTCTTTTCATGACACCTCTTAGCATTCCTCTACTGCTGACCCTTAAGAGATCTTTCTGACTTTAAGTCATTATGTGACTAGAGTGATGTTTCTTAAAGATTTCTCTTAGAAGTACCATTCATTTAAAGATTTGAACTTCTATTGCAGAGGCGACACACACTGACATTTTAAATGCACATTGAGCATAATTTAGCTTTATAATTTTTCTCCCATCTCTCTATGATGCTAGATAAGCTTTGAATGTCTAGTAATACAGTAGTATTCATGATGAAAAGTTGCAGAAAATTTTTCACAGGATTTATTGTGAGGTGTAGTGACTATTTATTTGTAGGTGAACACAGCATTAAATTTGCATACAGCAATCTCCCACAAACAGTCATGAAGTGAATGACCAATTGTATCGGAGGAATTAGGCCAACACACTGGGAAAAACTGCCTTCTCTTTTTGAAAAGTGCTGTGGGACTTTAACACCCACTTGAACAGACAGAATGGAATCTCATCATCTGAAACATCCAGGGAAGATCCAGAAAGGAACCTCCTCAACTTGTTCCAGAGAAATGTTTTTTTGCCCGACATGGAAGATTTGCTTTGAATGAAGATCATCATCAGGAAGATCAGACTGCAACCCTGACCAGCCAAAGCCTTATCTCCAGAGAATTGATAGTGCATCTTTGAAGTTGTCGTGCAGTTTCAAAATGTTATCCATCAGTTTTATTTGAAATGTATTTGCGCCCATCATTAGTTGTAAAATCCCCTTTCCTGCCCTAAGCTTTTCTTCTCCTGTATCATTTTCTGAAGCCACAGGGGTCTTACCCAAAGTAGAGGACTTCTGAGGTCCCTAATGTACTGCAAAATCAATAGGGGATGTAAAAGAGACTTCCTCTTCAATAGCAAAAGACCACTGTGCCTGGAACAGGAGAAAGTAGACCTGGACAACAATCAGACTAAATCTATGGTGGACCAGGGAAGAAGTACAAGAGGAAATCTATGGCAGGGTATTCCACATCCCAACAACTACTGTATCTTGAGTGAACAAAAATTCTCCGTTCTCCTTTCACTAATATGCAACAGTTTCAGGAAGCCAGCAGTCAGGTAAGCAGCACCTTCAAAAGTTCTCAGAAGGTGCCAGTGCTCCTGAATGTTTGACACAAAAACGCTGGGAGGAGGAACTAGGCTAACAGGGCACTTGATTGGTGGATCTCACTTTCTTTTTAAGTTTAAATTGAGGTTCTAAGAGAGAGAGAGATTGTAAAGATATTACAAAAGGGAAAGCTGGTTAGAAAGTGGATTGAAATTAAACAGCTGTTGAAAGTTGCATTGTATCATGCGTATTACCTCTATTGCAGAGTTTCAGAAAAACCCAGGAGTTGCTATCGCTTCCACCTCCACCTGTTTATTAGTGAGTATAAGTTGACATCAAAATCCGACATTGAACTTGTCAGGAAGCTTGCCAAGCATGTGTTAAAAGTCTACAGGAAAAAAAGTAGTATTTCCTCACTCCTTACTCAACCCAAATTGTGGAAGTCAAAGGATTGTTTTGAGTTTGTAGAATCAAGACCTCCAGTATTTCGCCAGAAATAGGCTGCACTTTAGCATATGCAGTGGAGACAGTAATAACAATGAATACATCTGCCAAGCGCTCTGCCGGGTTTGATTCACTCGCGATACCGAGTTTTCCCTTTCGGTCGACGCGGTTGCATTGACGAGCC